ATTTTGGGGTTTCTCACCGTGAAGGCCAGCTCCTGCCCCCGCAGCACCCAGACCCCCGAGATGCTGCTGTCGTGGTCCTTCCCAAAGAGCACCACGGAGGCGAAGGCGTTCTTCCGCAGCTTGTCCAGGCGCTGGAACATCCCTGGGGCGGGGAAAAAACCGGGAAAGTGGGAAAATGGGAAAAATGGGGAAATGGGGGAATGGGGAAATGGGGAAATGGGGGAAAAATGGGGGAAATGGGGAAAATATGGGAAAAGTGGGGAAAAATGGGGGAAATGGGAAAATGGGGAAAATGGGAAAAACGGGGAAAATATGGGGAAAATGGGGAAAATGGGGAAAGTGGGGGAAATATGGGGGGGGAAATGGGGGGAATATGGGGGGAAATGGGGGAAAATTGGGATAATATGGGGAAAAAATGGGAAAAAAATGGGGTAAAAAAGGGGGGAAATGGGGATAAGATGGGGAAAAAATTGGAAAAAAAGGCGATAAAACAGGAAAATGGGGAAAAATGGGAAAAAAGGGGAAAGAATGGGGAAAAAATGGGGATAATATGGGGAAAATGGGGAAAATGGGTAAAAATTGGGAAAAAGGGGGAAAATGGGGAAAATTGGGGGAAAATGGAGAAAAATTTGGGAAAAAATGGGGGGAAATGGGGAAAAATGGGAAAAAATGGGGGAAAAATTGGATGAAGATAAGGATGAAGATGAAGAAGAGGATGAAGATGATGAGGAAGGCACACCTGTGATGAGGCTGCAGCTCATGAAGGTCTGGGGCAGCTCCTCGGGGTGGGAAGGACAGGGATGGGTGACAGCAGGGACAGGGATGGGGATGAAGGTAAGGATGAAGACGAGGATGAAGATGATGAGGATGACGATGAGGATGATGAAGGCGCACCTGTGATGAGGCTGCAGCTCACAAAGCTCTGAGGGAGCTCCTCAGGACAGGGAAGGACACGGATGGGAAGGACAGGGGCAGGGATGGGGATGAAGATAAGGACGAAGATAAGGATGAAGAAGAGGATGAGGATGAAGAAGATGAGGATGATGAAGATGAGGAGGAAGGCGCACCTGTGATGAGGTTGCAGCTCATGAAGGTCTGGGGGAGCTCCTCGAGGTGAGGAAGGACAAGGACGAGAAGGACAGGGATGGGAATGACAGGGATGGGAATGGCAGGGATGAGGATGAAGAAGAGGATGAGGATGAAGATGACGATGATGATGAAGATGAAGATGAGGGCGCACCTGTGATGAGGTTGCAGCTCATGAAGGTCTGGCTCAGCTCCTCGGGGTAGCGGTACTGGCAGTACCACAGGGACCAGCCCTCGCGGTCAAAGTGCTCCCAGAAATGCGGCAGCGCCACCGACAGCGTGTCCTCGTTGGAGTACTTGCGCTTGAACTCGTCCAGGACAAACGGACTGCGGACACACGGACACTCTGAGTGACCCCTGACCCCCCAGAGTGACCCCTGACCCCCCAGGGTGACCCCTGACCCCTCACGGTGACCCCAAACCCCACGGTGTCCCCCTGTCCCCAGCGTGTCCTCGTTGGAGTACTTGCGCTTGAACTCGTCCAGGACAAACGGGCTGGGACAGACATGGGGACACTCTGAGTGACCCCCAGGTGTCCCCAGACCCTCTCAGGTGTGTCTCAGGTGTGTCCCCAATCCCCCCAGGTGTGTCCCAGGTGTGTCTCAAACCCTCTCAGGTGTGTCCCCAGGTGTGCCTCACCTCTTGGGCAGGTGTGCAAAGGGGTCCTTGGCCTTGGGCTCGGCCGCCAGGACCTGCTCGCACTCGTCCAGCTCCTCCTGGGGGGGCGCGCGCCGCTCCTCCCTCCGGGGGGAATGCTTCTCCCTCTCCCTCTCCCTCTCCCTCTCCTTCTCCTTCTTCTCCCTCCTGGGGGGCTCCTTCTCCTTCCGGGGGGGCTCCTTCTCCTTCTCCTTCTCCTTCCGGGCCTGGCTCTCCGCAAACTTCTTGGCTTTTTTCACCCCAAAAAAAATCGTGTTAATTTGGGGGTTTTTAAATGGGAAAAATGGGTGAAAATGGGGATTTTTGGAGCGGTTTTTGGCCTCAGGAAAGGTTTTTAAATTCAGGGAAAATTCGTTTTTTTTGGATAGTTTTTTAAGTCAGAAAAGGGTTTTGGAATTTGTCTGAAATTCAGGGTTTTTTAGCTCAAAAACGCTGTTTTAATTTACTCTAAAATTAATATTTTCTAACTCAAAAAACCTTTTCTAGTTTAGCCTAAAATTCCCCTTTTCTACCTCAAAAAACCCATTTTAAATTACCCAAAAATTCCCATTTTCTACCTCAAAACTCCTCTTTTAATTTACCCTAAAATTCCCCTTTTTAACCTCAAAAACCCCATTTTAATTTACCCTAAAATTCGCCTTTTCTACCTCAAAAAATCCATTTTGAATTACCCTAAAATTCATCTTTTTTTACCTCAAAAAACCCTTTTTAATGTACCCCAAAATTCCCCTTTTTTACCTCAAAAACCCATTTAAAATCACCATAAAATTCACTTTTTCTACCCCAAAATCCCTTTAAATCACCCCAAAATTCACTCTCCCCCACCCAAACTTCTTCCAATTCCCCTAAAATTCCTTTTTTTCCTTTTACAAAAACCCCAAAATTCCACTTTTTTCCCCCTGTACAAGAGCCCTGCAGAGCACAAACGA